CCATTTTTTTAAAAAAACGAACCAATCAAAGGAACAGATGTTATTTCCGAATAACATTAAAAAAAAAATATAATAATAATAAAAAAATACTTCAAATATAATTTTTTTTTACAATTTTGCGGTTTGTTTTTTGGGAAATTTTTACCATTTACTATGGATTCGTCCAAGAAGTCTTTGCGACAAAAAACAGTGTCTTTTGTAATCTATAGTGTTAAAATAAAATGTAATATAACAGAAATTTAGTTTTTGAGGTTTTAGTGATTTTCTCAGGTTAATGTTATTAAAAGCAAAGAAATAAAGAGAGTAATATAAGTAAAATAAAACTGAACCAAAACAAAAAAATATCAAAACATTGCGAAAAAGAAAAAAAAAGCGAAAAATAACATTGAAGAAAAAAACCGATGTCTTTTTAGCCGATTTACAGCCAGAATTGATTTACTAGATTCATCGTAAATCAGTTAATAGATAGAATGATAGAATAGATAGATAATAAAATGACATATATAGATAATAGAAATAGATAATAATAGATATATACTTTATAATGAATAGATAAAAGATAAATAGATAGATGAATGAATAGATAGATAGATAGATAGATAGATAGATAATGAATAGATAGATAGATAGATAGATGAATAGATAGATAGATAGATAGATAGATAATGAATAGATAATAGATAGATATTTATGATAGATAGATAGATGAGATAGATAGATAGATAGATGAATAGATAGATTTTATAGATAGATAGAATAGATAGATAGATAGATAGATAGATAGATAGATAGATAGATAGATGAATATAAATAGATATACATGAATGAGATAGATTGATAGATTTTATTTTTATAATAGATAGATATATAGATAAAGAATTGTTATATATATTTGATTCATAGAATGATTTATATTGAATAGAGATGAGCTAATAGATAATTAACATATATATGAGATAGATAGATAGATATTTATAGATAGATATATATATAGATTGAAAAATATATATGTTTTATATATATAATGATATATATCATGACTTCCAATTTTTTTATGATGATTTTATTAATGAATTATAGATATTGAACAGATTTCTATCAATATCTATTTTTATAGATAGATGTGGATTGAAAAATATTTTATATATAATGTCATTTTTAATAAATAGAAAATGATCAATTTAGATAGATATTTCTAGATTTTTGTTAGTATTTACATATTAGATAAAATATATATATATATATATAAATTATATATATTTTATATAGATAGATGTTTATCCTATATATTTGTTTTATTTATTGATGATATATATATATATATTATATATATATATATATATATATATATATATATATATAAGATATATAATATATATATATAATATCATATATTCATTCATGTATATGATATATATAAATATAGATAGATTTCAAATGATCCAATTCATTAATTATATATATTTATATATATATATATTCCTCGATATTTATTTTCTATATAAAAAATTCATATATATATATATATTTATATATATATATATATATATATATATATATATATATATATTTTAATATATATATATATGAAATATATTCATATATATATATATATATATATATATATATATATATCCTAGATTTATATAGATAATTAGTTAATATTTAGATTGATTTCTATATTTTGATTCCGAAAATTTTTCATGTTTAATCTCTTATTTTTAGAAATATAAATATATATATCATTTTATAAAAATTTTTATAATATCTATCATATCATATATATATATATATATATATATATAGATATATATATATATATATATATATATATATATATATATATATAAAAGAGATTATATGAGATCCTTGATTTTCAATTCATAGATAGATAGATACAATTTTAAATGAGAATTACATTTAATTACATTATTTTTTGTAATAAAAATATTGTCTAACTCAATAATTGACTTTGACATTAATTCTGAAATCAAGTTAATACTGTCAATATTAGATTTTTTACTATGTATAAATTAAATTTTTTAGGGTTTTTTTCATTCTGTAAGTGGAGATCTGCCGGGTTTATTTTAAATATTATTAAATTTAAATATTTAGAATTTAATTGAACATTTAATGCAATTTTTCAAAATGATTTAAAATTAATCCTATTTTTCTATCTATTTTATTCATCTATTTATCTATTTCTCGGATTTACTATCTATTCATCTATATATATCTATATATCTGAAAATCTTTGGACTATCTATCTATCTATCTATATATTATATATATATATATATATATATATATATATATATATATTTTACCAATATATCTATCTATATTTATATTTTTTTAAAAAATATCTTTAATATTGTGTATTTTCATCTTTTATCTATTATCATCTTTTTTATCTTTTTAAATTAAAATTTGCTATCTTCATATTTTTTCTAAATTAATCTATCTTTCTATCCATTATCTTTCTTCTATCTATCTATTACACGTCGTTAAATCTATCTTTTAACAACCTGATCCATAAAAAATCTCAGTTCATTTTTTATATCTATCTATCTATCTAAACTATCTATCTCTATCTATCTATTTATATAAATCTATTTATTTAATCTTTTCATCTTCTATTTATCTATCTATCTATCTATCTATTAAATCTATTTTATCTATATTCTGATTTAAAATAAAAAAAAAAAAATTAACATATTCTATTTTATTTTAAAACTATTAAATCTATCTATTTATCTATCTATCTATCTTAGTCATACATATCTATTTCATTTCAATCATTTTATCTATTATCTATCTATCTATCTTAGCTTCCTATATCTATTTCAGTCAATCTATCTATCTATCTTAACATTTTATCTATCTATCTATCTATCTATCTATCTATCTATCTATCTATCTATCACAATCTTTTGGTTGAATGTAACGTCTTTTGGTGGGATGTCGTTTTTCCGGCAGGAATAGTTTTTGTTGCATGCTGGGAGTATTTTTATTATTTTTAATTTTTATTTAATTTATTTTATACAACGTTTTTATGCTATTGTTTTATTTTATTTATTTATTATTATTATTATTATTATTATTTTAGATTTTATTTTATTTTATTTACAATAATAATAATAATAATAATAATAATAATAATAATAATAATAATAATATAAATCTTAAAAAGTAATTCACTCGTTTCTTTTTTTTTAAAACATTTTCCTGTTTTAAATAGATTTTTTCTTGGCTTTGGGATAGATGAATTTTTTGAAATTGCAACAAATTAAGTTAATTGGAACCCTCTCGGGTGTCAGTCATAACTAAAATGCACTAACATGTTCAAATTACATAGCCATTTTTTTAAAAAAACGAACCAATCAAAGGAACAGATGTTATTTCCGAATAACATTAAAAAAAAAGCATAATAATAATAAAAAAATACTTCAAATATAATTTTTTTTTTTTTATTTTGCATTTGTTTTTAATCAAAATCGTTTTTAAATTTACTATGGATTCGTCAAAGAATAAATATCTAGATCTTTGCGAAAATAAAAGATATCTTTTGTAATCTATAGTGTTAAAATAAAATGTAATATAACATAAATTTAGTTTTGAGGTTTAAATGATTTTCTCAGGTTAATGTTATTAAAAAATAAATAAATAAATAGATGAATATAATAGAAAATAAAACTGAACCAAAACAAAAAAAATATCAAAACATTGATGAAAAAATATAAAAAAAAATAGAAAATAACATTGAAGAAAAAAAATGAATGTCTTTTGAGATGATTTATAAATATATAGATAGATAGATAGATAGATATAATAGATAGATAGATAGATGATAGATAGATAATAGATAGAATGAGATAGATAGATATATAGATAGATGAGATAGATAGATAGATAGATAGATAGATAGATAGATAGATAGATAGATAGATAGATAGATAGATAGATATATAATGATAGATAGATAGATAGATAGATAGATAGATAGATAGATAGATAGATGAATAGATAGATAGATAGATATAGATAGATAGATGATGGATAGATAGATAGATAGATAGATAGATAGATGAATAGATATGATATGAATATATGAGATAGATGAATAGATTAAGATAGATAGATGATGAATGGATAGATGGATAGATAGATAGATGAGATGAATAGATAGATGGATATATGGATAGATAGATGGATAGATGAGATGGATAGATGACATATATAGATAGATATTTATAGATAGATAATTTATATATAGATGATAGATAGATAGATAGATGGATGAATAGATGGATAGATAGATAGAATAGATAGATAATAGATGAGATAGATGGATGAATGAGATGAGATAGATAATGGATGATATTATGGATGAATGAGATAGATAGATGAGATAGATAGATGATGGATAGATGGATGAATGGATTCTTTTAGATAGATAATATGAGATAAATAGATAGATAGATAGATAGATAGATAGATGGATATGAACAGAGATAGCTAGCCAGAAAAATAGATATGAGAAAATGAGATAGATAGATAGATATGTGCAGACTTAGATACGTACTGAGATAAATAGATATATAAATAGATTTTCCTAGAATTCTTATAGATAGATATCATATGAATTAAAAATAGATTTTAGATAATATATATGAATATATATATATATATATATATAGATATATAAATAATAAATATGAATGAATTTAGATATTTATATATATATAAAATTATGATTTGAACAATGAGATAATAATTCAGAATGATAGATATATATATATATAGATAGAAAAATGATATATATATATATATGTTTATATATATATATATAAATAGATAATAATCATAGATATTTAAGAAGAATTAAAATTTATATATATATATATATATATATATATATATATATAGATAGATATTAGATTTTATTAAATGATAGAACATATGAGAAAATATAGATAGATTTCTTGGAAAAATTCCAT